AATAAGCAATAGCAGGGAATTTCCGAGGCACATAAGTCTTGTTCATAAACTGGACCCTGTCCAGATAGCATACCACCAAGAATGTCAGTGGACCATTAAAATGGGCCTCTTTATCACTTTCATGCCACATCTTGACTGATTCAGAAAGAGCTTGTAACACATACTGACACCAATTGTAATTGATGATGTCAGATGGTTTTCGCAACGATTTGAGAAATCTTAACTTGCATTCTTGGCCCCTATTTCTCCAGAGAAAAAGGGACACCACAGCTATGACAAAAATTCTTTTAAAGTCATCTCCATAGACTCTCTGTCCTCCTCTCTCAACGTCCTTTCCAGTTAAATATTGCACCAGCTTTTTGGCTGTTGGAGCTCCAGCCGTACACTTAAAACCAAAGGTCTCCCTCAAATCCCCAAGCATCTTATTATATTCTTCATCTTTGTCGTACCAATCTCCCTCAATGACCTCTTTTGGTCCTCTCGGTAGGCCCAGAACAGCCTCAACATCATCGGCGGTAATATTCATCTCTCTATTACCGCGGAGAATGAGAGTGTTACTGGCATACCTGTGATAACATGTGATATAATGTGTTGTACATGTTTAATAAGAAAATGAACATGTTGTAGAATGAAAATAACATGTTGTATATTCTAATGAAATTCAAATTTCACAAATTACCTGTACTTTGAGACCAAGAAATAACAAAGATCTGGTTGCGCAATTTGTGTAATCTTCATGTCGAGAAGATAACCAAAACCTATACTCTTTACATCTTCTTTCTGTCGGTCATCCAAGTCTTTGAAAAATTTGCACAACGCTGGAGGGGAAACTCTATTTAAGAATACCCCTTCTTCTTTTATTTCATAGGTTAATTTTGGCTTTTTTCTTTCAGTTTGCTCACTCAGAGTATCAATTTTCCTTTTTCTACAAAAATAATATCATGAACATGTTACAGTTCAAAATGAACATGTTAAATTGTATAATGAACATGTTCAAATATAAAATGAACATGTTACAGTATGATATGAACATGTTTTAGTATGTAATGAACATGTTAAATTGTGTAATGAACATGTTCAAATATAAAATGAACATGTTACAGTATGATATGAACATGTTTCAGTATTTAATGAACTTGTTCTATTGTATAATGAACATGTTCAATTAATGAACATGTCTACATTCTATATAAGATGTTCTTTGAACATGTATAACAACGAAATGAACATGTTTAATAAACAAATGAATATGTTTAAAAGAACATTGAACATGTTCAAATGAACCAATATACGAATGAAGATGAACAAGTCGGACATACCGTTCACAACATTTTTTGGCCGTTGTTTCGAACTCTTTCCTACGGGCTTTAATTTTATCCTGTGTGGCAAAAAATTAATAAAACATTATACAATCTTCTGCAATGACTACTTTAAACCCTAGGCACAGAAATTCGAAATTGAAAATAGGGTTTTGGAAAGTGAATTGAATCTCTAATCGGATTTAAACTTCAACCGAAGGCAAAAAATACATACCAACATATTCCGCAATGTCTCTTTTTCCATCTGCCATGAAGTAGGGTTTTTCATTTCTAAGTTTAACATTTAAAATCTATGAAATTGAAATTTAATCGACATGAAAAGCAAAGAAATCTTACCTGTGAAGTAGGGACCGTCGGAAATTGAGCGTTTTTCAGTTAAAATTGTCTTCTCCGGGAACTTTTGATCGTGAAACAGAGAAAATTCAGAGAAAAAATGGAGAGAATGAAGAGGAGTTGCAGTTGCAGTTGGGGAAGAAGCAGTTGGAATCTCGAGGCACGATGCCGGCAAAATTGAGTAAAAAAAATAATATATGAAAAGGTGGGATTTGACAGGGCGCGTGGTTTCACGTGAAGTAAAAAGCAACTTCAACACTTTAGTTTATTTGAGGGGCGCGTGCAAATCGGGCCTCGCACACCTAGCAAGGTGTGCCAAGGCACACGATAGTGCAACTGAGAGAGTAGGTGGGACTGTGTTAGTTTGAATAGCAATGGGCTGTGGGACCCACATGCTGGTTTGTGTGGTTACTGGGTTGGGTCCGGTCCAATAACATATATCTGAAAATGTCCTAAATACCCTGATTTTTAGATCATATGGCTAATATTTATTATTATTTTTTTCATTAAGTATCATTCTCACATGAGCGCAAACCTATACATATACATAATTTAAAATAAATAAAAAAATAAAAAAATATATAAGGGTCGGGTTAAACGAGGTGACCCAACAGGGTCAATGCCCCGAGTCAACCGGGTCTCGGGTCAACCCGTTGGGGCGGTCCGGGTTGAAAAAGTATGGGAACATGAGTGATGCAACATGAAATGTTTACAATTTCATAATTGTGAACCCATTAATATTGAAGCGGAAAATGTTTTTAATTTCATTAGTTGGGAAATAAAAGTGAATGTAAACTATTACTATATAATAGCAACAAGAAAAAATATAAAAAATCATGACACTCCCGCTCAAATTTTCAGTTTTTACTACTTATGAAAATGTTTTTTTTGAAAATTTTGGGCAATTCCCGACAATGATATTTTAAAAAAAAAATTAGAATTTTTTAAAGTGAAAAAAATTATCTTTTTTTTAATAGATATGCATTCCATCTTATCTTGATGTCTATATTTAAATTTTGTTTCTTTTTTTTGTGGGTATTGTTTTGATTGTATTTTAGTATTCTTAATTAGATATCTAGAACTATTCACAATCGTAAGTCAAATAAATTGCCAAATATCTATTTTAAGTTCTTCCTATGAAGCATGACAATTTTTTCCTTTCTTAAATTATTTTTTTCCTTTTCCAATATTACGACTTTTTTTTTTTTACTTTTAAATTTTAATTTCTTAAGATTTTGGAAATATGTTTTCTTTTTCCATTTTAACTTTTATTATATAAAATTAAAATATTTATCAATATTTCCAAAAATTTGGAATCACTTTACTAAACTAAAAAAGAAAAATTCAAAGTACTCCTTAATTTAAATAATTTTAAAATTTCCATGAATAGCAAAAAAACGGTGGTAAATTAGAAAACTAGGAATTATAGGATAATAACAAACAATAAATGCAAATAAATTATATGATTATAATATTTACATTGTTTTGAAATTAATGTCACGTAATGAAATATTTTTGTTTTGGTTGTTAATGAGATAAATTTACTTCCTAATTAAATCAATCACACACAATTCTCCAGATGCAAGTTCTTATGCTAGACTTTTTTTCCCATTATGCTAGACGAGATTGATCAGTTACAAATGAGATTTTTGGTAAGGAAATTGCCTTATTTTTATTTTTATTTTTTGCACGGAGAATTTACGCACGTGTGACATGTCACAGGTAAGAAATCCTCGACTGATACGAAAATCAATTCCAATATGAACTGTATTGTCAATTTTCATATCTTTCCTGGATTGTTATTAATGACCACAATAGCTAAACTATTTATTTTCATGTTTATTGCTACTAATTATTTAATATGCATCATATTTATTTATTAAATTTTTTAATTATTTATATGATATGTATAATATTTAATTATGAGATGCCATGTCTAATATGCATGATAATTAGTTAGTTACTTATTTTTCATAGGAATTAATTATGTCAATTAAATAATTATTTTATTTGCATGGTAATGAATTATAAAAAATGCATATTAGAAAACAAATAATAAGATGTATACATATATATTAATATATTTAAGTAAAATTAAAAAATAATAAGGAATAAGTATGTTTGTGCATCGCACGTGATACACACTTGTATAAAAGATAATTATTTCTTAAAAATGCAGCCAATTCAAAGTAGACCTTACCAGGCCCATTGTGTTGCATAAGATAGGCCAGTTAATAGAAGGCCCAGCCCAGTTACAGAGATTTGGAATTATTATTATCGTAGAGTCGCAGTGGTTTGACGTTGACAGGGACGCATAGAGCCAAGACTAAAAAATAGAAAAGATTGCCGATCTCAATTTCCAATGCGCTAAATGGGTCCCACTTTTCCCCCTCATATAATGCTCCTCTCAGTACCTTCACTCTCAATAGAAGTGGCCAACGGTCAAAATCCTCTTCTCCATTAATCATCCCTACAATTCTCTCAAGTTACATTAAAAAACAAAACCTACCTCAATATTTTTTTTTTTCTTCACATGTGTAGTCATTCATGTTTTGTTTTACCATATTTGTAGTGAAAAAAAAAAAAAAAAAACTTTCTACCAATTTAATGTGATTACAAAAAATAAACTTGATTTTGCTTTTACCAAATAAATATATGCATATGTAATATTCCCCCCAATTAATAATAATAATAATAATAATAATAATAATAATAATAATAATAAGTATCAGTTTTGAGAAGTTGCACAATAATAAAGAGTATTTTTAATAAAAATAGAGATGAATGTTTTGAAAAAATATAGAGTGAATATAAAAAAACGTAATGTATTTATTAGCTAAATGAGAGTAATAATGAAAAAATATATACTACAAAATATTCAAAATATCTCATTTAGTTGGCCGTTGATAAAGATAAAATGACATTTAAAAATAACAATCTAATTTACACGTAATAATAGAACAAGAGAGAAAAAAAAAGTAAATGAAAGGAAATAGCATCCAACTGTATTAAACTAAATAAATGCAACCACACGTGATCAAGCCTCGGCGTATGTTATCATTTAGCCCCGACACAACACTGATGGCATTGCCCTACGTAGTAAAAAACTCATGTCATGTGAAACAACCACGCTAACTTACGCGGCTCTGTCATTCACAAGTGTCTTTTTTACTGCAAATTCTCAGCTACCATTGCCGCCGATACATACACTCTCCGACGCCGTAAATACACAATATATATCTCTGTGAGGTTTATGTGAGTGAGCTCATCCTTAAAAAATGGGGTTTATAGTACCTCAATAACATTGGTCTCCTTGGGTTTCTTGTCAAGTTTTGAGAATTATCAGAAATGTTTGGGTTTTCGAGGAGAAGAATGAAGCTTGGCAGGTAATTTATCTGAATATCTTTCCAATGTGTGCGTGTGTGTGTGTGGATGTATGTATGTAGTATGTGTTTAATTCTGGATTAGTGTTCTGTGGATCCCCTTTAGAGTTATTATCTGCTCCAATTTCTGGTTATCCTTGTGTATTTTATTTATTTGAGTGGCCATCTTTGTAATTGTTGTCTCGATAATCCGTAGGTTGTTATAAAAGATTCATGTTTTTACTGTTATTCCTGTGTGTACTTCCTTAATTTGGTGCAGTTAAGAGAATTTTGAACTGGTGTATGTTTATGCTATCTGCAAAACTGGACAGTTTAAGATATTTGTGGGTTGGTTATGTGTTAATGAAGTTTTTGAGAGGGGGTGGAATGGGCCCAGTCTACCACAAATGTCAATGAAAAGTATTTACTTTCGATATTCAAGTGTTATGTGAATTTACATTTCATAACATCGTCGTGACAAAAGGTATGCAGTTGAATGAGAAGGAAGTACAGCTGCTGCAGCATTCTTTTTGGATGTCTAGTCTGTAGTCCAACAGTACCTATTTCAGGCTAGCCGACGTTTCATCAATAGTACTTTTATCAAATGGAATATGCTAATATAGGGGCAGCATGTAAAAGCTGCACATTAAGGCTTCATTTGTGATTGTGCTCACTTAAAATTGAAGCAATGTTGGATAAGGAATCATAACCCATTGTTGTATCAAGAGTAGAAGGATGTTATAACCTGATGGTTGCTTCAATAGGTTGACCCTGGGGAGATCTTTAGTGTTTTCAAGTGGCAGCATACATATATCAGTTCTATTTGCCAGTTTCCCGACATATTTGTTACTGGAATAAAAGTTACTTTTAACATTCCTGTTGACAAATTTTTATATGATTCATAATGACATGTTCTGCTTACCTTTTTTCATAATATATTTTGATTTGGTCAGACTAAAGGTTCAACTTTCTGACACTGCTCAAGGAACTAGAAGTCCTATAAGGCCCACAAAACGATTTGGCAGTTCAAATGTAAGAGTCGAACTTAGTTCCATCTAATGTAACAATTAGAACCATTCTCATTAAGGTCTTCAAACTTATCAGGTAGAAGGTGCTGCAGCAAGTGCTGAAAGCGATGAACTCATTTGCCATTCTTCATCCACCGCGCCAGAGCTTAATAGTTGCACTTCCGGCAGTTCTGAAAATTGGATGGTGCTTTCAATCAGTGGGGAAAAGCCTACACCTCGTTTCAATGTAAAATGTCTTAATCATAGTTCACAAATGTAGCTTCCAATCTGGGAAAGCTGTGAGAGATATCTATTTTTTATGCAACTTTTGAGAAATTTGAATGTACTGTGAATAGCATGGAGCGACTGTCATTGGGAACAAGATGGTGATTGTTGGTGGTGAATCTGGAAATGGTTTGCTGGAAGATGTTCAGGTATCAGGATATGATCACCTCTCAACTCCCTCATTTGACATACATTTTCTTTTACCTTACGTTCACTCTTGTTCCTTGCTGTTCTTTTTTTTTCCTAATTGTAACGTTTACCGGTAAATCACCTAGTTTCATTTCTTTTCACATTTTTTCTATGTTGAATTGATAGAATTACATTAGGCTTACTTATTTAATTGCCATCAATATATAAATGTTGGCAAAAAGGTTAGTTTATATCTGTGTTTCTAGTTCATCATTGCATCATTTCTGCAATTTAAATTTGTTACATTGAAGTACTATATCCTCTGTTTTCTGATGGTATTTGCACAGGTGCTGAGTTTTGATCGATTTTCATGGACCAAGGCTTCATCAAAGCTTTACCTTTCACCCACTAGTCTACCGCTAAAGATTCCAGCATGCAAAGGTCACACCTTGGTATAAAAATAACTCTCAGGAGCACTACAGTATAATTTTCATTGCACATTGGTTGCAGCATGAACTATAATCTATATATTCGTGTTAAGATAATGTGAAGTTTGTAGCTTCTTGTTTACCATGAGAGATTACAAAATTGAGTAGAACTATTCGTGTATAGCTTTGACTTTGACTTGAGCGAGTGTTACTGAGGTGGCTAAATTGATTAGCTGAGGATTAGAATTCCATGATTTTTTTAAAGATGCTATGCATTTCTCTTTCTGGTAGCTTTATGTGGCAAGATACTTCAGTTAATCTGATATGTGGTTTTCTAGGTACCGTGGGGGAAGAAGGTTCTTCTAATTGGAGGCAAAACTGAACCTGTTAGTGACAGAGTGTCAGGTTTTACCTTTTCTTTTCAATGACTGTATCTGCGCTACACGATCTCACAATTTTAGACAATATTCACGATTGCTGTTCCATTTTATTTTTGTCTATTCAGTATGGGCATTTGACATGGAAGCAGAATGTTGGTCATTAATTGAAGCAAAAGGAGACATCCCGGTAATTTCCCTTTACAATGATGGGGTTTATCAGTCAGTCCATACTTCGCATTGAAGTGAATGAGTATCTGAAGCCACAATGAGGCAGTAAATTTCAGTGACATTTGGTATCTGGGTTTATGATAAAATATCAGTTTAATAAATTGAATATTTGCCTGAATTTTCTTGATGGTTGGAGTTGTCAAATGCCTTTGCTGTTACGTAATTGACTTTCAAAAGATACAAAGGAAAAGCTTGTTTTTTATGTAATAGTGAGATACTTATAAATGTATATTTTTTCGGTTTTAATTTTGTTAGACTTCCAAGTTGTATTTAATTTGTAGCAAATCTACCTTTTCCTTTTTGAAGCTTGTCTACGAAATGATTGTCGTGAAAAGGCATTTCTTGAAATGTGTGGGTACTGACTAGACTAATAAACTGCAGGTTGCGCGTAGTGGTCATACTGTGGTTAGAGCAAACTCTGCTCTTATTCTCTTTGGAGGTGAAGATTCTAGGAGGAGGAAACTCAATGATCTGCATATGTTTGATCTGAAATCTCTAATGTGGCTTCCTCTTCATTGCACGTATGCTGTTATTAGTATCACCATTTAAATGTTTCATAAGCTTTACTGTGGCAGTGGCCAATAAGTATTCCCTGATTTTGGCTCACCAAGTATTTTAACTAATGTCTATATCTTAAACCTGAAAAACGTTTTTGCATGTGCAGGGGACCAAAACCCTCGGCAAGATCAAACCACATTGCTGCTCTTTATAATGACAAAATGCTTCTCGTTTTTGGTGGGGCATCTAAGTCGAGAACGCTGAATGACATGTACTCACTTGACTTTGAGGCGGTCTGTAAATTCTCTATTTTTCTCCCACAAATGATCTAAATTTGTTTTAATTTTTTGTATGTTAACCTAGGCAATGTGCACTTATGTAATTCATTTCTAAGCATTCTCTTCAGATGGTATGGTCCAGAATTAAAACACGAGGTTTCCATCCGTCCCCTAGAGCCGGTTGTTGTGGAGCACTTTGTGGAACGAAGTGGTATATCACGGGTGGTGGTAGCAAGAAAAAACGTAATCCCGGGACTCAACTTTTGGATCTGTCTGAAGACCTTGTTAACACAATTGTTATCTAGTTCTCCTCTCTTTTAATATTTTTCAGATGTTTGATAATAAATTTGTTATCAGCGAGAGGTGAAAATCTTGCTAACTCTCATTGCTGCCTGTACTCCAACTTTTTTTTTCCCCTTTCACAGGGCCTGCAGAGACCTTGATTTTTGATGTGCTGAAATTCGAATGGTCAATTGCCGTTGCTTCACCTCCCTCTTCCATCACTACCAGCAAGGTCTGTATACTATGCTGTCGTAAATGCATACAAACTCTTAGTCTAAAGATGCAAGTATAGTTTTGTCATTTACTTAAGCAGTAACCTTTTGCGGCAAGTGTGAAGCTATTTTTAATTATGTTGAAGTGTGTGTAATCCAGTTAGTGAAGCCCCATGGTTTCACAATGATACCGTAAGAAACAGCAAACCAAAAACTGACCTTATGAGACAGCAAACCGAAGCCCATTCTGATCCATAATGCATGAATAAAAATATAACTGAGCTGCATTTGCCGACCCCCAAGCTGTTGCATGTAAAGGATCTTTTTGTGAGGATCTTGTGCATTCCATCATAATTGTACAATCAGCAATACTGGCCATGAATGATTTAAGTGAATCCCAGCAGAACTTCCTGCAAATTTTTATATTCAAACAGTTATTTCGCAAATGCACTTGATTGAATAAAATATGTGGATCCATAATTGTCTCTATTATTTTACTTTTGTTCTATTGGCAGAGTAAGTAAACCATATTTTCGTACTTCTTTGGGCTGCAGGGTTTTAGCCTTGTTCTTGTGCAGCATAAGGAAAGAGATTTTCTTGTTGCATTTGGTGGTACCAAGAAAGATCCGTCCAACCAGGTTAATTTGCAGTCAAATGGTTTTTCTTTCTTTCTCATTTATCTTGGTATGTGTGTATGCAAACCATTTTTTGGTTTTGGATTCATATTAAGTTCTTTAACAGGTAGAGGTACTTATCATGGAAAAGGTTGAATCATCCCTAGTACGGAGATCAACTTTGAGCAAAGTTGCTGGAACATTGTTGCCTGAGAAAAATTGGTCAGCCTCTCAGCAAGGGAATGCTTCTCTCGGTGGTCATTTTGATTCTGTGTCCAGGCAAAATTTAGCATCCGCAATTGAACAACATGGATCTGGTAGAAGATCTTTGTCCGAGTCTTTACTTGTTGACCCAAACTCCGGTCCCAGTAATGTCTCCCTCCGCAAACAATTCTACAATGAGGAGACTCCTGATGTGAACACCACAAAGAGCTCCGAGGATAAAAGTTCTTTCAGGGTAAAAACTACTGCCGTCGATTTACCCAGCTGAATTGTCTTATAGTTTTTATTTTTTTTTTATTTTTTTTTTTATTTTTTTTTTCTCAAGTTGGATTTTGTGACCCATTTTTCAAGTTGGAATTTATGACTGATCATTATCATTTGTGCTTTCTTCGGTAAGATTGGAGTTCTTTTGAGGATGATTACAACAACTACGGTTGGGATTTAACCTGTCGACCACACGCACACAGTGAGAGAGAGAGAGAGAGAGAGAGAGAGAGAGAGAGAGAGAGAGAGAGAGAGAGAGAGAGAGAGAG